AAGAGAAGAGATGTACTGCTTGCACGCAAAGTTGACAATCGAACCATACCCTTAACGTTCGACGTGCTTATAACATTTTTTGCGCGATCGAAATTAAAATTATGCAACCAATATAAATATGCACTAAGAAATTAACGAGCAGAATAAATCGAAATAATCGAAGTGGTTTGGTGTACATCACTAGGTAACCAGTTTAAATGTCAAAATTGAAATTAATAATTTCATAAAAATGTGCATGTGTCTGATGTAGTTTACTAGCTTTGCACTTCCTTTATGACTTTATGAACGTCTTGCTATAGGAAACAACAGCACAAATTGTACGTTTAATGTACCTAACAATAATTAAAGATTAAATGTAATGTAAGACTGTTGATTTTTAAAAAGGCGTCGGTAAGTATTTTTGCTGTTCTGTTTTTAGATCGGTAAGTAATTTTGGCGTCGTCGTAATCATAGCAACTGGTAAATTCTACGTACTGTCATAGAAACATCCATGGTAAATAGTCAGAAATGACCGACCGCGCAAAAAAGTATCTTTTAATCTCCGAACATGTTCCTCTTTTGTAGACCCAGTGACTAGTACATCATCATAAAAACATACTACCCCATCTGTACCTTGCAAAACTCTCTCCATAATTTTTTGAAACTTTTTGGGAGCGGAACTGACTCCAAATGGCAACCTTGTATATTTAAATAATCCCTTATGGGTACTAATGGTTGTTAACATTTGAGATTCTGAATCTAACTCGATTTGAGAGTAGGCCTGCGAAAACCATTACACAACTTAGCAAACAGTTCTTCTACTCGTGGTATAGGATAAGGTTCCTCTTGCAAAGATGGGTTGAGAGTGACTTTATAGTCACCACAAAGCCTAATGGATCCGTCTTTTTTCAAAATTGGAACTACGGGCGTTCCCCATTCGCTGTAATCTACTTTAACCAAAACTCCTATATCGACTAACCTCGCAATTTCTTTTTCTACTTTTTCCCGCATTGCGAAAGGTAAAACTCTAGCCTTCTGAAATTTTGGAATGGCAGCCTCTTTTAAATTCAATTTTATTTTGCCTTTAGTAAATTTACCTAATGTGTTTGCAAACACCTTCTCACATTCCCTAAAAATTTCCATTTCTAAACCTTCCATTCTTATGTTGTTTATACACAATTCATACTTATAGAAAAAATCCCTGCCTAATAAAGGAGGCCCTCCGTCCCTTAAGACGAACAATTTAACATTCTTCATTACACCCTTATATTCAATTGGTACAACAATATAACCTAAAGGAATCATTTTCCCTCCCGTATAATTCTTAAAAACGTTATTGCATTTAATTAACCTATAACTATGAAAATATTTGGCTCCGTTAACTTAGCACCACCATTTCAGATTTTGGACTAAAGACAGATTGCGCTAGAATCTCTATGGCTAGCGCCAGCTAGCACCACTTTGAGTTCAGCTAGCGCCATTATAGATTTTGCAGAAAAGCCCTTGACTTTCGGGGGGTGCTATGTTAACGCTAGCACCACCATTGCGTCCGATCATTTCCAAAAGCAAGCGCTGTGTTCGTCAGACCTAGCGCCAGCTAGCGCCACAAATTTTAGAGCTAGCACCACCCCCCAATAGTGAGGGGAGCAATTTTTCCTAGCACCACCATTTTGTCTTTTCATGTAAAATTTTGACGTTTTGTGTTCTGCTGACCTAGCGCCAGCTAGCGTCACTTTGAGTTCAGCTAGCGCCATTATAGATTTTACAAAAAAGCCTTTGACTTTCGGGGGGTGCTATATTAACGCTAGCACCACCATTGCGTCCGATCATTTCCAAAAGCAAGCGCTGTGTTCGTCAGAGCTAGCGCCAGTTAGCGCCACAAATTTTAGAGCTAGCGCCACCCCCCAATAGTGCGGGGGGCATTTTTTCCTAGCACCACCATTTTGTTTTTTCGGGTAAAATTTGGACGTTTTTCGTTCTGCTGACCTAGCGCCAGCTAGCACCACAAATTTTAGAGCTGCCATCACCTTCCAATAGTGTGGGGGGAGGGGGCACCACCATTTTGTCTTTTCGGGTAAAAATTTGATGTTTTCTGTTCTTGTAGACCTAGCGCTCAAGTTAACCTAGCGCAATTAAGTATAAATCCTAGCGAGTTTATAATTTTGCGGTGTCTGTCCGTCTGTCCGTTAGCACGATATCTTGATAACGATAACGAATTGACCGTTTACGATGAAATTCTGTAGATGGATTCTTTATCAAATTTGTAGATCGGTTTTCGTGAATTGGCAATGTAGACCAAAAAATAAAGTAGGCACTTTTGACATCTCTGTGAGTTATGGACCGAATTGTATGAAATTCAATATGTGTATAGCTTTAGCCATATAAAACGCAATTTCAAAAGTTGAGCCTAATCGATCAACATTCACAGTGCTCTTTTCGCATCTCGACCATTTACAAACCGGATTGAAAACTTTCTTATTTATGGAAGCATTTAAAAGAAATTTGATACATAGCCACTTGGAATAAAAGCAAATTTAACACCAGTTTCAAAATTTGGTTTTGTGCATGATGTGCGGTGCCAATTTTCTTATTTATGGAAGCAATTAAATGAAATTTCATACATATACACTTTAAATAAAAGCAAAACTAACACCAAGTTCAAAATTTGGTTTTGCACATGCTATAGCCTTACCCAGGAGCTCGTTTTCTATATTTATTTACACGTCGATGCGAAAAGGGCACTGTGAATGTTGATAGATTAGGCTCAATTTTTGGAATTGCGTGTTATATAGCTTAAGCTATTCGAATATTGAATTTTATGCAATTCGGTTCAAAACTCACGCAGATGTCAAAAGGGCCTTAATTATTTTTTGGAATACATTACCAATTCACGAACTTCGATCTACAAATTTGATAAAGAATCCAACTACAACATTTCATCGTAATCGGTCCATTCGTTATCGAACTATTGTGCTAACAGACAGACACCGCATCTGGGATGGTCAAACTCTTTACCTTTTTTAAACCCGAATGTGCAAATCTGTCCCTGTCCCTAATAATCAAATTATTTCAATTTGAAATCCTTTACTTTTGGGATTGATCGTTCTGTTTAAAGTAAAAAGTTCCAATAAAAATACTAAAATTTGTATATAAAGTAGCAAGATTGTAACTGTAACCCTTCATTTCGAAGTAAATTGACGGTGAGGTATGCAGGTACAAACTTACTTAAATCCTTTATGAATGCGCAAAAGTTGTCAATTATTTGTCACATCAAGGGTTTACAGGCGCGTCAATTGTGTGAATGTTGGTAAAGCTGTATTGTTAAAAAAACACCTTTAGATAGTAGTCGACGTGACGTACATAGGTATATAATTTATCGAGAGTAAATACACGAGAGCTTGATTTTTAATCGCATAATTTTATTTTTACACGAAAGTTTTGTTGCAACGGAAAAAACTCGAAATCAAAAGTGTGATAAAATCACGACAGTTTTAGCTGGAGCGATTTTATTAATATTATCCTTTTGATCGAGAGGTTTTTCCAGGAGGCAACAAAATTTGAGTGAATTAAAAATAAAATTATCCTTATTATTTACGTATTCCCACACGCATTTTTATCGCTGTAAAAAGCTACCTAGCATTTAATCAGATAAAAAATCATCTGATTGGTTAGAATTTGAAACAATCACCTAGCTGATTGGTCGTATATTAATGGAGTGTATTAATCATATAAAATACATATGCCTTATTTGCACCATAAAAATTAGTTAGCTACGGAAATTACACATAAGTATATAAGAACTGCTTCTTTGTTTTTTAGCAGAATTAACAAATATGCTGATTGATTTAACGACTTTATATAGGTTATGAGTAGGTACGTTCGTTGAAATTGTCAAATTTTGCACTGCGCTGTGTTCTAAACGATTTAGCTCGCAATACTGTGGTAGTGAAATTAATACTGTGACTTATAAAAAGAATTGTTTAGTAAGTAGAGCACAAAACAAAAAAATTTCACAAGAAACAGTACCTAATATGGAAATTTTAAAATTAAAAATTCATAATATAGTACGGTGCAATTAGTCGACAAAACGGCTTAACCTAAACATCAAAAGTAAAAGTTTCCCATTAACTGCAAATTGTTCTACACAGTCACATATTGTTTGGTAAAAAGTTACACCAGTTGGTAAATTAGTAGTTTTTGGTGTTTTTCTTAAATATTTAGAAAACTATGGGGTTTGGCGAGAAAAGTACCATATCCAAACTAATCTACATTAAATTGTGAATAAAAATGGTCTGTGTATAATCTTGCTCAAGTCAACGATTCCAGAGTTACGGAGGGTGTAAAAGTAGGCATTTTTCGTATTTTTTCGATTTTCTGGAAAAATGAAATCATGTTTGAAGTAAAGAACACTGAAGATCTGGCTTGTTTTCGTTACCAGTGTTACTTGCAAGCTATTTCAAAGCATCCTATACATTCACTGTTCAAGTTGGCTGCGCTTCTCCCCACTTCAGCAGCTACCAGGTAGAACATTCATTTAGAACTTACCATCAGGTGCAGCAGTGGCTGCATGAGAAGAAGAACCCGATGAAGTGGGAATGCAAGATTGTCGAACACCTGAGAGCAATAACAACACATCCTGCAACTCCCCAGGAATTACTGTCCCTAATAGTGGAAGTCTCTTGAAAAAATGGCCCCCCTTGAGAAGGTGGTAAGGTTATGGTTCCTTCAAGGACTTATCAGTAACATACCACTGGTCACTAAAGCGCAATTTGTTTTAACCGGTTTTAACAAAAAAAAATAGTTTCCTTAGTGATAATCTCATATTTTTTCCAAAAGAATCTAAAAAAAAAGATGAAAAATTTCTACTGTTACACCCTCCGTAACTCTGGAATGGTTCAATTTAGCAAGATTATATATGAGGCCATTTTTGTTCGCAATTTACTGTAGATTATTTATTTTATTTCGCGCTAAATAGTATAGTTTTTTTTTAATATTTAAGAAAAACTTGTCACAACTATTAATTTTCCAACATTTGCTTTTATTCAAAGTGGCTATGTGTCAAATTTCATTTAAATCCCTCCATAAATAAGAAAGTTGGCACGGCGCATGCGCAAAATCAAATTTTAAAACTAGCGTTATATTTGCTGTTATTCCAAGTGGTTATGTATCAAATTTCATTTAAATCCTTCATAAATAAAAAAGTTTGCTATTCGGTTTATAAATGGTCGAAATGCGAAAAGAGCATTGTGAATGTTGATCGATTAGGCTCAATTTTTGGAATTGCGTTTTATATGGCTAAAGCTATACGCATATTGAATTTCATGCTATTCGGTTCATAACTCACGGAGATGTCAAAAGGGCCTTCCTTATTTTTTGGGTTACATTGCCAGTTCACGAACTCCGATCTACAAATTTGATAAAAAATCTCGTAAAGAATCCACCTACAAAATTTTATCGTAATCGCTCCATTCGTTATCAAGATATCGTGCTAACGGACGGACAGACGGACAGACACCGCAAAATTATAAACTCGCTAGGAGCTCGTTAATAAATGATAATTTTCTTCCATGGGGATCGTGGTCCCCATTACACTGACTGGCCACGATACCTGCACGTTGTATGGCAATATTTAAATTTGTCGTAAGTAAGTGGTAGCTCGGGGTTCCCCAGTAATATTGGTAATGCGTTTTCCCAGGTATTCCACAAAATTTTTGAGCTTCTCTACACCAAGGTCCCAATGTCTCTACTGCGAAAGGTATAAAAATATGGTTCTGTTCTATAATAATTGAACTGTATTTCCTTATTTTAATACTTGCCGCAGATTCAGCTACCACACCACTCGTTTTACTAGAAAATTAATCCAAAATATTTCAGTGGTGCCAAGTCATAAAGCTAGGAAAAACTGTCCCAGACTACTTGGGTGTGGCGCCTACTCTTAAGATTTTGACTCTATCTGGGAGATGTCAGCAAAACACAAAATAGCAAAATTGTACACGAAAAAACAAACCGGTGGTATTATAAAAAAAAGGACCCCCACAATGTTGGGGATTGGGCGACAGCTCTGCGCTACGTTTAAAGAACACAGCGCAGCGCTTGCTTTTGGTAGTCATCGAACACAATGGTGGTGTTAGAGGCTAATAAACCACCCCCAAAAGTTAAAGGCTTTTTGCAAAATTTATAATTGCGCTAGGTTAACTTGAGCGCTAGGTCTACAGAACAGAAAACATCAAATTTTTACCCGAAAAGACAAAATGGTGGTGCCCCCTCCCCCCACACTATTGGAGGGTGATGACAGCTCTAAAATTTGTGGCGCTAGCTGGCGCTAGGTCAGCAAAACACAAAACGTCAAAATTTTACCCGAAAAAACAAAATGGTGGTGCTAGGAAAAATTGCCCCCTGCACTATTGGGGGGTGGCGCTAGCTCTAAAATTTGTGGCGCTAGCTGGCGCTAGGTCTGACGAACACAGCGCTTGCTTTTGGAAGTGATCGGACGCAATGGTGGTGCTAGCGTTAACATAGCACCCCCCGAAAGTCAAGGCTTTTTTGCAAAATCTATAATGGCGCTAGCTGAACTCAAAGTGGCGCTAGCTGGCGCTAGGTCAGCAGAACACAAAACGTCAAAATTTTACATGAAAAGACAAAATGGTGGTGCTAGGAAAAATTGCTCCCCTCACTATTGGGGGGTGGCGCTAGCTCTAAAATTTGTGGTGCAAGCTGGCGCTAGGTCTGACGAACACAGCGCTTGCTTTTGGAAATGATCGGACGAAATGGTGGTGCTGGCGTTAACATAGCACCCCCCGAAAGTCAAGGGCTTTTCTGAAAAATCTATAATAGCGCTAGCTGAACTCAAAGTGGCGCTAGCTGGCGCTAGCCATAGAGATTCTAGCGCAATCTGTCTTTAGTCAAAAATTTGAAATGGTGGTGCTAAGTTAACGGAGCCAAAATATTTGCGCATATAATCAAAAGAAATAACTGATACGCTAGCACCGGTATCAATTTCGAAAGTGAAGGACAAATTTGCAATTTTTACACTGACAAAAACAGGATTATTTTCCCCTTTAATACTATAAATACAATCGTCATTCAAATCGTCCTCAATAAAGAATTGTTTGCGCGATTTCGTAGAATTGCACATGGCCATTAAATGACCTTTCACCCCACATTTGTTACAGGTATAATAACGATAACGACACTTACTTTGACCGTGATTTTTACCACATACAGCACATTGAGCGTCCTGACCAACTTTCCCTTGTGGACCGCTGCTGCGCCCTCCTCTTCTGGACGCCGCACGGGATGCTCCTGCAGATCCAGCCTCTGCTCTCTGGTTACTGCTGCTCCCCTTACGCTTGTCGGTCGCCCATTGCTGAGAAGTTTTGTACACCTCCATGGGTTCTTGTTTAATTACCGTATTAGCACTTGCCTCATAGTTCTTTAATACTGCTTCCTTACTTAACGCGATATCAATTGCTTTATCTAACGTTAATGTACTCACGTCTTCCTCAAATAGACGATTCAAAATTGCTTTATCCTCCATGCCAACTATAAACTTATCACGCATCGCAACACTTAATTCAGATCCAAATTTACATTTGGACGCTAAGTTTTTTACCCTAGCCGCCCAGTCCATGATGGTTTCGTCCACGTTTCGATTTGCGTGATAAAACTTAAAACGTTCTGGAAACAACGCTTTTTGTGGTGCGAAATGTTTATCACACAATTCAATTAAAGCCTTGAAGTCCGTTGCATCGGGAGAATTTGGCACACACAGATTACTTATTAACTGATAACTCTCTTCGTTGCAGGCGTTTAACAATAACGCCCTTTTTATCTCTTGTTTGTCCACATTGTTTACAATGAAAAACTGAAACAGCCTCTCTTTGTAAATGGTCCAGTTACACTCTTTAGGGTTAAACTCCCTAATGTAGCCATTGTACGTAGATGCCGCCATAACTAAACACCTCACGCACTTTTTTGGGTACCCTAAGACCTTTTTACTTTGCTAATACGGTTTCTCGTCGCCAACTGTGATGTTCATTTATTCAAACCCAAACATACAATGTTATAATGAAACCATAATCCATGAGTGCAGTCTGGCGCGATAACTTACAATCATGCGTACATTACTACACTAATCACGTATATTATTCACGGATTCATATGCGCTTTAATGTAAAATCCATACTTTAGCTTTTACAAGAGCAAAAGAATAAAAAGCTACCTACATATTGTAATATTTATATCTACTTAGGTAATTGAATATTTGTTAATTCGCTTCATGTTACTAAAAGCATCGTTTGACTTTCATAGAATATGTAGTTCGACAATATTAATAAATACACGGAGGCCGATTTACTTTGGACATGAATTATAGTAATTCTAAATTCAATGTTTCATACAAAATTGCGTACGTGAATTGAATTAATTTCAATGAATTTACATTTTGTCGAGCTTTACTGCGTATACAATCAACCTTAAGGCATTGTTACCCTAAAAATCACAAAAAAAAACAATTATTCAAATAAATTCGATTGGATGTTCCGATTTTAAACAACAATGTTATGTATAAGGTACCACCTACCTGCGTAAAAACAGTTTGTAAATGTTTTATGGCTTCGTTTAAAACCGACAGAACTGTGTAGTATAATGATTTGATCACAATATCACAGTCGACACTTTCTTAACAAGATTAAGAAGAAAGGCAAATAATAAATACGCAAGATACACAAGTATTCATTTTTAGATGTTTGGGTCATACATTTTTCTCCAAAGATGAGATACTGGGCGTCGCACCAAACCTCAGTGGCTAACCATAAAGACCGAGTTGGAAAGGAAATATGGGGATAGAATACTGATCACGTCAGTCGTCAACAGATTTAGCGTGCCCATGGTACGTTTTAGAGATACTAGGATTCAACTGATATTGCCAAACTCAGTTGGTAGTTTGATCCACATCCTCCCTTCCCACACAGCAGTGAAATAATTTTTGAATCAGGTACTCTCGTTAGGGCTAGATTGCAAAAGATAGCGGGAGAGAAGCATAATACTATTCAGTGTAAATATTTCCTTAATTTTCTGAAGTTAAGTTTGGGGAAAGAGATATCGATTATTAAGTTTTCCTGAAATAATTGTCCACACGCATTTGGTTGATTAATAAAGTGTTCATATTTGCACTACAATTAAATTCGTGTTTCTATTATTCGATTTCTATAGTTGAATGCAAAGGGATTTCGGGGTACTTCTATATGTTCAGTCTCATACTTATTATATAGCGCATTTAATCATGATAAGTAGTTGCTCATTTCTCACAACAGAACTGCTTTTCTGTTGGTGAGTTTATGATTAGTACGGAAGGAAATGTTTAAATTATGTACAGCTGTATTAATAAACGTGTCAAACTTCATATCGACTGTTAATGTATTGTCTTTCAGACATTTTCATTTTATGTTGAATAGAATATTATATAGTCTAAATTTACCAAAAAATGTATGCGCATACCATAAGAAAATTCAATCTTTCCTTAATAAAGCAGTAAAAACTGTTTTGCAATATCTCTTACTGTTTTCGAATATATTTTTAAAATTACCCCTGCAAATTCAATTTTTGGATGACCCCGTATACTGTAGCGAGTATCGCAGACATCGGACCGCCAGCAGTTTCAATCGAAGCGATAGCAAAGATTAGTCACTAGCGATAAGAAACGAAAGCGAATGTGACGCGTTCTTTCCGAGAAATTCGATACATCGCGGGTATTCGGGAATATCCGTAATCTAAAAAATCTTTCCATTTGCTATATAAGCAAATTGAATTGTTTAATCGAAGTTCCAACATCGACGCTGAGGTGATAAATCGGTTGTGTTATGTTATAAATTTATGTACAAGTGAGTCATACATAATTAACTATTAACAATCAACCTGTTTAATAATTGCTATAAATTCATTAATAATGAATCAAATAAACCACGTAATTAAATTTACGTTAACCTTGTTTTCTAATGTGATCTTGATTAATATTGAAGAGGAAACAATGATCTTCTATTATAGATCGTATCATCAAAAAAGGCATCGGGGAAAAATAGTGTAACCTCCTACTAAGTTTATTGTTCATCTCAATATCTCTGTGCTAATTGCCAACTACAGCATTTAAAGACTATTTTTACTCAAAAATGCATTCTACAGCTTCCAAGAATTTACAGCAGCATCAAAATTGTGCAGTGTCTATTAACACGTTATATTGATTTACTTGTTTTTATTATGTAAAAGTTTGTCATTTGATTGCCTAGGTTGACCAATGTAAGTGCTTAGCACAATAGCAGGGTAAATATATTATTATTATTATGAATAAAGAAAGGTATAAAGCTGGCTAATACTCGCCATTGGAACCACCCTCAATGGATGAGCGAAGTTTGTATATAAGCGCATAGACGTTTGTAAGTTTAATGTTCCACTGTACAATGCATTAAAGAAAGTTGGGTCGATCCAGTGGCGTGCGATATTTACTGTTTTAGAGTAACTACTCATATTTTTACACACACTTTCAATGCTGACTGACGGCAATTGAAATTATTAAATAAATACATGTTTTCCTGCATTTGACAAACTGCAATCTATTGTAACTGGGCAAGGTCAATCAATAAAGTAACAGAGTAATTAGAGATGACCAATAAGTATATCTTATAAATATTTAAACGCAAAAAGTCATCATTGAAAGTGTGTGTTTTTATCTGTGATATGAGTAAGTACTCTAAAACAGGAAATATCGCACGCCACTGGATCTACACAACTTCCTTTAATGCATTGTACAGTGGAACATTCAACTTATACACTTCGCTCAGCCATTGGGAGTCTAGAGGGTGATTCCAACGGTGTGCAGGATTATCAGCTTTATACCTATCTTTATTCATAGTACAGCGATATTGAGATGAACAATAATGGGAAGTTATACACTACTTTCGTCAGATTCCTTTTTTAGATGATACGGTCGATAGTGATCATGACTGGAGGGAAACAATTTCATTGTGCATCGCCTGTGATTGATGAAAAGTGTCATCCGTCCTTGCTGTAAAAGTATAACTTTATCTACTCTTCCTGCGAAAAAGCCTATAGTTATTTAAAATCGTTATAACCCCGACTTAATATATGCCGTAAGATAAAGAAACTTGGAAAAATATGGTCAAATGAATCGCGCAATTTCAACGGGACACCCTGTGTATCTATCTATAATTAGAAAAAAACGGGGATTTATTCCCGTAACCAATGTTTACACTTCGTTATTTTTATTTTGATTAAAAGAGCACAATGGGATACAAATCCAATCTGAATATCGGAATTTGCATGAATCGACGGTAAATGTAATTACGTTGTTAACAATAACACCGAACACAATTGACAATAATCGAATGAGGTGAGTGATATTTCAGAATTTTATACATACAACAAAAATGCTTTTAATGAAACTAATGTATTCCAATTTAATTAATAATATTTACTATACCCTTTAATTTTCTTATTCCATTATACTATATTCACAAATATATACCGTATTTTACGCATGGAACCCAAATGATACGTTAACACGAATATCTTTCAATACTGTTATATAAAATGAGGTTATTGGTGATGGGTGAAGGCCGTGCCGGTCCGTTTCGTAAGGTATAGTTGCTGAAATTAATACAAGTGCCAGTTAATTGTTCGTAGTTTACAGTAAAACAAAGTATGATGGCGTTATGATAGCCTTCTAGTGTTGAGACTATGATGTGTAAGAAAATACACAAGTGGTAACGTCAAAATTTTATTTGTAAACATACTGTATTATGTGTTGTAAAATTCTTCCGTTAGGTGTCACCTGTTGTCCCCCATCTTTTGAAATTAAATCTCTCCTCAATCTTCCACTTGTTTTGTCCTTCTCATTGTCCCTATAGAAGTCTGATTGTTGAGACTTCCTGCACCTCTTACCGACCAGAAACCAGAACTAGATCCATACCCAAGCATTATTACATCCCACATTAGAAACACAGAATTCCTTTTAATTCTTTCCGTTTTGTTTTCATTCACAGAGAGTTTTCTTTTTATTTCATTATTATTCCCCAGACCTGTTAATGCCCACATAGCATTCTATATCTTATGTATATACATTTTACATCCATAATATACCGCGAATATCCTGTATATCTGATGCACGTACTATGTATATTCATAGTAGATATATATTTTACGTCCTATATGTATTATCATATATACATACCTTTTGAACTTGATACGGACTTTTAGAAGACAGATCTTATCAACAACATACATTTCAATACATAATATAATAAGTAAAGTATTTTGTTTATTACTGCTTAGTGATAATATAAACGCTTTAAGGTGCCATCCTAGTACATCAACTGTTACAGGAGCAGACATCATAGTGGGAATTAAAAAGTGGTTAGTTCGGTGCAAAGATCGGTTAAATATTTCGAAGCGGAAGAATGATAGGTGTGTTATCAGAAATCAGTTTATAATTTGTTGTTAATCTCAGTGTTTTAGTGTGGATGCTGCAAGAGGTGAAAAGTATAATGAAGATCTGCAAAGTATCGAATAAAATATTAAATGAACATTTCATTTTGTAGTTTTTAGAGTGAATTTTTATTTAATACAGAGTAAGAGTGTCGTTTTTGTCTATATTGTTTTTTTAAATACACATTATATGACGTTTTTAGTTTTTATGCTTCATTGCCAATAGACAAGATATAGGGGGTTTCAAAAGAATTCTGTACCATAATAAATAATTGTACAGAGGCGGGTTAAAGTGACAGTTAAGTTAATCATAGATTAATTAGGTACTTTATTAAGGAATGTGATTCAGTAACGAGGAATGTATAGCAAACAATTACATTTCTTAATATTGATTAATATAATTAATTACTTCGTGGAACCAGGAGTCGGCATCTTACCAACCGTCAAATTAAG